CCGGGTTGATTTTTTGATTTATTGTAGAGATGAGGTCTTGCTGCCCCAGGTGGGTCTCGAACCCGCGGACTCCGGCAGTCCACTCACCTCAGACTCCCAAAGGTGCAGGATTAGAGGCTGAGCCACCGAGCCCGAGTTTTTTTTTTTTTTTTTTGAGTTGGAGTCTCAGTCTGTCGCCCAGACTGGAGTGCAGTGGCTGCTCCCGGCCACCGCAGCCTCGACCTGCTGGGCTCCGGCGATCCTTCCACCTCAGCCTTCCAAGTAGCTGGAACTACAGACGCGCGCTACCACGCCCGGCTGATTTTTTGATTTATTGTAGAGATGAGGTCTCGCCTAGGTACCCAGGTAGGTCTCGAACCCACAGTCTCAGACAATCCGCTCACCTCAGCCTCCCAAAGGCGCGGGATTACAGGCTGAGCCACCGAGCCCGGCTTCTTAATTTTTCACATTTGTGTTAATACCACATTGTGTGGGTTCATAGACTAGTGTTGGTTTGTTCCTGCTGTGGTAGAAAAGCATTTAGAAACAAAGCAATTTGATAGTACCCTGACATTCCTATCGTATTTTACAAAACCTCAATCTATTATAGATTGAAAATGAAAAATGCAGGTAGTTGAGAAGCTCTGTGCTAGACCATTTGAACAGAATGACCTCTGTTTAAAACTGGCTTTGGCAAAGTTTGTAGATAAGAATCCAAGACCATTTCAAGATTCTGGGCAAATAGCCCAGTTTAGCTTACTTAATCTGCAGCTGAAATTGTGCCTCATCTTTGTGGTTCTAGTCGTAAAGTCACTACTTATTTTTGACCCTGGATATTTGAATGATTAAGAATTAACTTTTATAAATAAGTTTGGGAACGGTGGCTCACGTCTATAATCCCAGCACTTTGGGAGGCTGAGGGTGGAGGTTTGTTTGCGGTCAGAGGTTTGAAACTAGCCTGGGCAACATGGCCAAAAAAAAAAAAAAACACACAAAAACAAGTCGGGCTCGGTGGCTCAGCCTGTAATCCCGTGCCTTGGGAGGCTGAGGTGAGTGGATTGCCTGAGCCCACAGGTTCAAGACCTGCCTGAGCAACTTGGTGAGAACTTATCTCCACAATAAATCAAAAATTAGCCGGGCATTGTAGTACGCGCCTGTAGTTCCAGCTGTTTGGAAGGCGGAGGCGGGAGGATCACCAGAGCCCAGCAGGTTGAGGCTGCGGTGGCCGGGAGCGTGCCACTGCACTCCAGTCTGGGTGACAGAGTGAGACTCTGAATAAAAAAAAAAAAAAATTAGCTGTGCATGGTGGCGCATGTAGTTCCACCTGCTCAGGAGACTGAGGCAGAAGGATCCCCTGAGCCCAGGAGGTCAAGACTGTGGTGAGCCATGATCATACTCTGCATTCCAGCCTGGGTGACAGAGTGAGACTCCTATTTTTTGATAAATAAATGGATAATACTTGGGTGTTTAATAAATGGCAACTTTTTTTTTCTTTCAGAACTACAAAAGGAGTTTATTTATTGAGGGAAAGAGGGTGCAAACAATACAAAAGTCAAAAGCTTATCTGGTCTTCAATTAACTTTTCTTCTCTGCTTGTCACATGGGAGTTGGGTTTTGTTTGTACATTTTCTAAGGATCCTGATCTGCTCACAGAATCCTTATACAGGGGGATGCTTTGGGCAGAGTCCTTCAGTGACCCTGTGGGATAACTCTTAGCAGGGTGGGAGGCATTGCTTGGTTCTGTCTACTTCTTTCCCTTCTGTTTCATGTGTACTACAAAATAGTTGTTGCATGCAGTGGTGAGGCCAGCGATGAGCGAAAAGACGCTCTGGAAAAGCCCACTTTGCCGTCTCGGCATTGGTCCCGGGCCTTCATTATTTTGTCCACGGTCAGAGGGTCTTTCTGATTTTCCAAAAACCCAGGGAACTTCTTTTCCATGAGTACTCTTAGGTCTTTCTTTGTTAAGTAACCTTTATCCCCAGCAAATTTGTGGAATGTAAACATCATGGTTTCCATGGCATGTTCCATTTGAGATGGCATTTTGGTGAGTTCTATTGAAGCCTTCGCGGTGGGGCGCGGTGCGGACGCTGGACGAGAGGGGACCGGTCTGCGAGGAGAGCGGTGGGCGGTCAAATGGCAACTTTTTACTTATTGCTGTATATTGCTCTAAATTCATTTACATTTAAGGCTTAAGTAGTCTCCATTTTTACTTTTTTCTCCTTAATTTTTCATTACAGAATTGAAGAAGATGTTCCTGCTCCTTCTACCTCTGCAGATAAAGTGCAGAGGTAAGATTTACATGGTACAACTAGATTCATATCTGGAACATAAACTAAGAACAGTATAACTGGAAGGCAGTTGGTTTCATTATTACTTTTTACTTAGAGTGCTAAACAGTGCTAATAATATTCCTACCATTTGTTCAAGTAATTCCATTTCTAGAAACCTGTTGTAAAGATATAATAGCAATGTAACGGCAAATGGTTTTAATTTTTCTTTTTTTCAGTTGGAGTCTCACTCTGTAGCCCAGGCTGGAGTGCAGTGGTACACTCGTGGCCACTGCAACCTCGACCTGCTGGGCTCAGGTGATCCTTTCACAGCCTTCTAAATAGTTGGATCTAGAGGTGTACACCATCTAATGCCCGGCTAATTTTTTCATTTATTGTAGAGTTGAGGTCTCATCAAGTTGCCCAGGCTGGTCTTGAACTCCTGAGTTCAGGCATTCCTGTCACCTTTACCTCCCAAAGTGCTGGGATTATAGACTTGACCCTGTACCCAGCCTATTTGCTTTCTTTCTTTCTTTTTTTTTTTTCCTGATACAGTGTAGAGACGAGGTCTTACCAGGTTGCCCAGGCTGGTCTCCAAACCCCTGAGCTCAGGGAATCCTCTTGCCTCGGCCTCCCAAAGTGCTGGGATTACAGGCTTTGAGCCCCGGTGTCGAAACCTGTTTGCTCTTTTTTATGCCAGTACCACATTATCTTAATCTTTTTTTTTTTTTTTTGAGTTGAAGTCTCACTCTGTCACCCTGACTGGAGTGCAGTGGCTGCTCCCGGCCACCGGAGCGGCCACCGCAGCCTCAACCTTCTGGGCTCTGGCGATCCTTCCGCCTCAGCCTTCCAAGTGGCCGGGATTACAGGCATGCGCTACCACGCCCAGCTGATATTTTGATTTATTGTAGAGATGAGGTCTCGCTGCCCACGCGGGTCTCGAACCTGCGGGCTCAGGCAATCCACTCACCTCAGCCTCCCAAAGGCACGGGATTACAGGCTGAGCTACCAAGCCCGGCTATCTTAATCTTGAAATCACTGCCTCTTGCCTTATTTACCTAAATGCTCCTTAAATTTAATTTTTTTGTTGTACTTGTATGAAGTTAATGGTTCTTTATGATTCCTTTTTATTTATTTTTATTCACAAATAGAGTAACGTGTAGAATACAGTCTTTGTGAGGAGATAAGTCTTATTGATTAAATATTCTGGTAAGACTTCTGGAAATACTGCCTTTAAGATTGTGTGTGTGTTTGAGTTAGGGTCTCACTCTGTCGCCCAGTCTGGAGTACAGTGGCACGATCGCAACTCTTTGTATCCTTGACCTCCTTAACCCAGGTGACCCTTCCACCTTAGCCTCCCAAGCGACTGGGACTACAGGTGCATGCCACCACACCTAATTTTTTTATTTTTATATTTTGTAGAGACAGGGTCTTGCTATGTTGCCTAGGCTGGTTTCAAGCAGTCCTCCTGACTCTGCCTCCCAAAGTGCTGGATTATAGGCATGAGTCACCATACCCGACCTCTTTTGGTTTTATGGTAGTAATAAGTATGAGTTAGCTTTTTGGTCTCGTCCATAGAAATGAGATGAGGATGGTAAAGTCATTGTTTGGAAAGCATCACAATAAGTTGCACACACTATGCCACTACTGTGGCTATAAGGTTACCACCTTCAGAAGTTGACCTGTGGCAAATGTGGCTACCTTGCCAAGTATGAGAGAAAGTAAAACTGGAGTGCCAAGGCTAAAAGATGAAATACCACTGGGAGTGGTGGAATGAGGCTCCAAAAATTGTGTACTGCAGGTTCAGGCATGGATACCTTGAAGCAACAACACCTAAACAAACCCAGGAAGGCAGCCATTGCAGAATCCAGTTTATCTCAAGAATTTCAATGATTAGTAATGAAGTAAATGTTCTGGTTTGAAAAAAAAAATATGAGCCAGCCAGGCCTTGTTAGAGTAGTCCAGAGGTGTTAAAAATTAAAGAAAATATTGTGGTTCGAACGTAGCAGGTGTTTAAAAAGATGTTGATTCTTCCCGGTGCAGTGGCTCACACCTGTAATCCCAGCACTTTGGGAGGCACTGGCAAGAATCCAGGTGTTAGAGACCTCATCTCTATAATAAATCAGACATTTTACCGGGTGTGATGGTATGTGCTTGTGGTTCCAGGTATTTGGAAGGCTGTGGTGGAAGACTGACCTGAGCCCAGCAGGTCAAGACTGCAGTGGCCTGGGCAACAGAGTGAGACTCCTACCCCACCTCCCAAAATGTTGATTCAAACAATACTTGACACTAGAAAAACATATTTTTCTTGCAGTCTGGATGTGGATTGTGAAGCCAAGAAACTATTGGGTTTAGGACAGAAACATCTGGTGATGGGGGATATTCCAGCAGCGGTCAATGCATTTCAGGAAGCAGCTAGTCTTTTGTAAGTACTGTGTGTTTTGCTGTTATATATCATGTTCCTAATAAACCTTGAGTTATAAAACATTTTATGGGGAAGAAGCATGAAGAACAAGAATTTTAATACATTTGCTTATTTTTCATGTAGGAGTTTATTCCTGTAACTGTAATTATAAAACCTAAATATCATTGAGAAATTTCAGCTTTTGGTTCTTCTGAGTTAAGGTAATTTGCATTCCAGTCACCACTAATTAGGATTACCATCTTGGTTTGTCTGGGACTTTCCCAGTTTTAAGACTGGAATATCTGTGTCTGGCGAACCACTCCAGGGCCAAGCATGTTATGATTGATTATGCTACTACTAAATGCTATTATTAGCACAGCATTTTTTATACTTTCCTAGCACATATGTTGCCTGCTGTTGCTTACCACCAAATAGCCATATATATCTGTATTTTGGAGGAAGATGTCGATTTTAGTACCTTTAAGGTGATTTATTTTCCCTAAAGACTTTTTTTTGAAGCCAAGAAACCTTTGGGAGTCTGAGGTGAGTGGATTGCCTGAACCCGTGGGTTCGAGACCCGCCTGGGTGGCGAGACCTCATCTCTACAATAAATCAAAAAATCAGCCGGGCGTGGTAGTGCATGCCTGTAATTCCGGCTACTCGGAAGGCTGAGGCAGAAGGATCACTGGAGCCCAGCAGGCGAGGCTGTGGTGGCTGGGAGCAGCCACTGCACTCCAGTCTGGATGACAGAGTGAGACTCCAACTCAGAAAAAAAAAACCCAAAAAAAACCCCCAAAAGAAATGGTTATAATGCAGCATTTGTGGGTTTCAGCTTTGAAGCTCCTTGTGATTAAGGGTCATATCAATTTATTATTTTTCTAATCCTTTACTCGCTCTTCCAATATCCAAAACAGAATCTTTTCTTGGATGTCTGCAATAATCTCGTCTAATTCTTGACCTCTTTTGTCATCTCTACTTGAGTTTAATGAACTAGAGGGCTAAGAATGGAGACCAAATTTTACCTGATAGTGTTTAGGTATTTTTGTATAAAAATCCTTGGTGGTCTTACAATGTGAAATCTAAGTTTTTAAGGTTTAGCACAAATAAACACTTTTCTTAGCTTATTCTTCCTCTCCTGGAGAGGTCGGTATTCCCACTGTTCTGCCAATAAGGTTATGTAGGAGGAAAATTTGAGATGCACTGTTGTAATCTAGTAGACTACCCTTACATATATCTGTCATCACAATTTCTAGCTTAATTATTTATTCTCAAGTCTCTCAAGACCATTATTTGACTTCACTTTTCATGTCTTCTGCTGATCATTTTATGAAAGCCTCTTTTTACACAGAGAAGTACCTCCTTCTTCCCATTCTTTACAACTTGAGTGATTTTTGTTCCTCCTTCCCTGCCTAGGTTTTTTGGTGTGTGTGTTTTTTTTTTTTTTTAGTTGGAGTTTCACTCCGTCATCCAGGCTGGAGTATAGTGGCACCCTCATGGCCACTCCAGTGTCAACCTGCTGAGCTCTGGCGATCCTTCCACTTTAGCCTTCCAAGTAATTGGAACTTTAGGTGCTAACCACACCCAGCTAATTTTTTTTTTAAATTGTAGAGATGGGGTCTCACGAAGTTGCCTAGACTAGTCTCAAACTCGCGGGCTCAGGCAGTCCTCTTGTCTCGGCCTGCAAAGTGCTGGGATTACAGGCTTGAGCCATTGCACCTGGCCATGTATGTATTAATAGCTACAACTTAAATATAGTGCGATCTGTATTTTTTCTTTCTTTCTTTTTTTAAAATTTGATTATTATTTTTTTAAGTGAGAAAGGATTTATTGAGAGGGCAGAGAAGCTCCCACAGTGGGAGGGAACCTGAAGGGGTTGCCCTTTTTTTTTTTTTTTTAATTGAGTTGGAGCTTACTCTGTATCCAGGCTAGAGTGCCGTGGCACACTCACAGCCACCGCAGCAAATGTGAGTTCGCACATCCAATCATATAAATTAGTTCAGTTCATGTGTCTAATGTGCATTGTTACATGCACGCATCCTTTATAAGTGGTTGTGCTTTTTTGCTTTTGTGTACTTTATAATATTTATGTGAAAAGTAGTATAAATATGCTACAGTACAGTACTATATAGCTGATTGTGTTAGTTGGGTACCTAGGTTAACTTTGTTGGACCTAGGAGCAAATTGGACTTAACTAATGTGCTCCTGGAATGGAACTTATTCCTATGTAGGGGACATACTGTACAGCTAGTTAGGGTTTAAGGTAGGATTTGAACCCAGGAAGAATGGCTTCAGACATTATGTTCTTTATATCATGATGCCTTTCCATAGACCTTACCCTCTGTCAGAGCCAGATGTCCTGTAACTATTCTGGTCCATATTGACGGGAGGAATACCTACTGATGCAGTTTGGCCCTAAGATTATATATTAACTGTAGCAAACTGTTGTCACTTAGAATATATATATATATATATATATATATATATATATATATTATTTATTTATTTATTTTTGAATTGGAGTCTCACTCTTGCGCAGGCTGGAGTGCAGTGGCACGGTCACAGCCACCGCAGCCTCGACCTGCTGGGCTCAGGCAGATCTTTCTGCCTCACCCTTCCAAGTGGCTGGAACTACAGGCGCGAGCCACCATGCCCTGCTAATTTGATTTATTGTAGAGATGAGGCCTCACCATGTTGCCCAGGCTGGTCTCCAACCCCTGGTCTCAGGCAATCCACTCACCTCGGCCTCCCAAAGTGCTTAGATTACAGGCTTGAGCCACTATGCCCAGTCAGACTATGTATTTTATATATATATATATATATATATATATAT